TATTTGAGGATTAACCAGTAATAAATATGGTGTAGATCATTAAGCATACTCTGCATTAAATTTTAAAGTACTATTTCCATTTACTTTGGCAAACTAATAATGAGGAATATATTGTGGATTTCATCTGAGAGTTAATAGGATCATTAAACTTGGAAAGCTCGGTATAACTGAATAAAAATTTGTTTTATTGTCATTCATTGGAAAAGAATGAAGAAAGAAAGAAACTTAATGAAAAAGATAACTAGGTGAATGTCTTTTCCCTTAAAACTATAGCTTTGCCTTTTACCTTCTCAGCTGTTTTCTGCTTGGAAAGTAAGAGGCTGTGACTAGAACCATCAGGAAACCCAAAGGATTTCCAGAAAAGGATTATTATTAAATGGTTACATTGGAATAATTTAGTATTTCTTTCCTCATAAACACACAACTCTTTTCTTCGTAAGTGTAAATAGCTAGTGCTTTTCCCCACATTTGTGGATTCAGAACTGCAAAGGACACCTTATATCTTCTGTCCAAAGGGAGAATTAATTACATCTGTGTCATCACAGTAATAACTGCTTAAAAGTGAAGGCTCCACAGTAATCCCAAAGTTTCACTGCCCTTGTCTTTGAAGAGTTTTTTGGGTTTGATTTGGTTTTTGGTGTTTCAGGGTTCTTTTAGTTTAGGGTTGTTTTTTTTTTTAATTTCTTTTTTTTTTTTTTTTTTTTCAAGTATGTAAGCTGTGTTTGACCTGAAAGTTCTTGCCTGATTCATGGTGGATACAGAGATGGTGCTATCTTGTATGTCTGCTCTGAACAGTTTTCAAAAACATAAGTGTTTTTACTATTTTGGAAACTGATACCATTTCCCTCTAAAAGTATTCCTTACTCCTCTCCTACCCCTCCAGTTTTCTTTATATTAAATAACTCAAGTAATTAATTTCTGTAGGTGTTACTGGAGCTCTGATATCTTTTGTTCTCCTTTGGACTTCCTCCAATTAGCCTCCATTGTACATCTATTTTAAGGTCTGAAAGAATAACAAATCTGACATCCTTTAAATTTCTGCCTGCGTACTGAGAGAAATATCTCATATTTTACTCAAACATTTCTTCCAGAATTACATACGCTCTTGAATTAAAAATGGGAAGAAGCAAGGTGATATTTTCCCTCAAAATTTTGGTGACTTAAACTTTCGAAAATATTCATGCGATTTTTTGTCTCAGTGCTTGTAGGAACCCTTTGGTCCTATAAAAGTCTATTTGTAGAGAGCCATTCCGTTTAATCCTCAAACTCCATCTCTGATCAGTATCCTGTAAATTCTATAGAATGGCATAGAAGATTCCTATAAGATGGCAGACTGCTCCTGCATTTCTGGCTTCCTTTGTTGTTTGTATCATCTTCCAGCCACAGCCTTTGTTGTGTTTGTCTCTGGCAGATTAAAGAGATTCATAGAACCTTTCGGAGTCTTTGACTTTTTAATGCAATATTTATACATTATAATAAAGTCACATCTCAGCTTCTTCAAAAGAGTGTCCCATTAGTCTGTTGAATACTGAGAGATTGGTCATTTCTTTTTTTTTCCCCCTTTTTCTTCTCCTACCTATAAAGTTTGCCACTTATGTTCCATCACAGAATAAAAGCAAATGCTGCAATACTCCAGCAAAAAGGAATTTCTTACTTTTCTTAATGTTGTTATGGAATGAGAGGAATTTAGGAAGGCAACAGAAAAGAGAGGAGCTAACAGTCCTGTATAATACTTCTGTTCCAGAATTTGTGACTGGCATTGCAGTTACCTATTTATCAACTAAACAGATGAAGTCTTAGCTTGAACTTTTACAGACTAAATGAAAGGGCAGAGATCTTTCTTTAACCTTTATATAAGTAACCACTGTGAGTAACGTAAACTGCAAAGGACTACAGAATGTCTTTTTCTGTAGAACTTGTAAGTGGTAAATCCCATAAACTCAATCCTTGGCTGTAACACAAGAGCTTTTTATTTTTTAGCAAATGGGACCTAAGCCTCCACTGTTGGTAGCATATATGAAATTTTCCTTTACAAATTACAATAATATGATCATTCAGGGTAGGATTGGAAACATTGTGCACTGCGTTTTATTAAAAGCAATGAGTGGATAATGATTGATGAAGTGAATAATCTTAAACTGATTTTTGTAATAAACCAGACATAGGTTATTACATAAAAATTAGTTCAATAACTACATAAATTTTCATATTTCTGTTTTTCTAGCTTATATGAAAATAGTATCTTTGCCTATGAATTCAGTTTATATGTATATATGTGTTTTCTAACAAGGTGGAATTAAAAATAAATCTATAGGGCATCGGTACATTTTTAAAAATGACTGAAGATTGTGTGCTATGTTTACACAATTCTACTGATTTAACTATGTAGGATTGAATACTGAATAAAAATAGGTGGTATGGAAGTTAAGTACTTTTGCAGAGAACAAGAAGAAATAAAAAATGCATAAGAATAAAGCTTGTGAAGAGTAAAAGCATGCCAAACATAGAATTTTCTTTACAGTTTTGGACATATTCCCTAAAGTAAATCTTAAAAAAGCCATTCTAACTTTTGTTGCTGTGTTGAAAATGATAGAAAAGAAAGGACAAAACTAAACCAGTTCATGATTACTTGAAGTGTAGGCAATCTTTCACTGTCAATCCTTTGTCACTGGGGCATTATGTAAATATGCTCCTGACAAGAAGTTTCTCTTTGTTCTTGTATTAGATGGTAGCAATTGCAGAGGTCAATGGATCACTAAAACTTGATATAGTAGACTTTAATCCAAGTAGCACAAGCTGAAAAGATGCACACATATGCTACCATGTCCTGATCAGAACCACTGCTTTGAAATTGTGCCCCAGTGTTACACCTAAACTGGCTGAAATATAAAGTTCCAAAAGAATTCCTGAGTGCCAGCAGAACACCACCAATGTAAAATTAGGAACAAAATCATCACAGTATAGTCGTACAGTTATATATTAGAATCATCGAATGGTTAGAGTTAGCAGGAGCCTTAAAGATCATCGAGTTCCAACTCCCTGCCATTGGCCTCCCACCAGACCAGGTTGCTCAAAGCCCCGTCCAGCCTGGCCTTGAACACCTCCAGGGATGGGGCAGCCACAACTTCTCTGGCCAACCTGTTCCAGTGTCTCACCACCCTCACAGTAAGGAATTCCTTCCTAATGCCTAATCCAAATCTCCCCTCTATCAGCTTAAAACCATTACCCCTTGTCCTGTCACTACACTCCCTGGTAAAGAGTCCTTCCCCATCTCTCCTGTAGGCCCCTTGTAGGTACTGGAAGGCTGCTATAAGGTCTCCTTGGAGCCTTCTCTTCTCCCGGCTGAACAACCACAACTATCTCAACCTGTCTTCATAGGAGAGCTACTCCAGCCCTCTGATCATCTTTATGGTCCTAATATTAGATACATGCGAAACCGTATCAGTTTTATACATGAGAAAGAGTTACGTAGCTCAGTGTACGGTATGAGGACTATCGTAGAGAAAGTTGCTACAGAAGTTCTTCATAAAAAAATCTACACATGCTGCATGAGAAATTGTCAGTATGCAACTATCATCTTATAAAACATGAAAATTAAATTATTATAACTGTATTAACATTCAGCAACTTTAAATGGGCGATTTGTAGGAAAAAGTTATTTTTGAGGGGAAAACCTCCTCTGTGAAGGGATACAGCGGGAAATAAGAAAGGAGGGTGATGCTGGGGGCCTCTAGAGAAATGCTAGTGACCTCACTGTGAAAGCATCTCTATTTTTGCCCACAAGAATAGAGAAAAGTAGACTGAAGTCAGTAAGAGTTCACATCTAAACTGAGAATTTAAGAAGAAGTAGAAGCCAAGTATAGTCCGTGCTTGTCCTCAGGTGTAGTTGAGACTCAGAGTCCTTAGTGAGAACCGTGTTCCCTGCCTGAATTATCCTGTCCATACCAAACCTATTCAGACTATGTGAACATTCATTTCTGCCCACATTAAAGCCTTAGTATTGCCTCCTAATTCTGTTCTCAGGAACCTGAATTCAAGTTGCCTGAACTTTAGTTAACTGGGCATAAGGTTGCATGGGAAAGCATGCATGGACAGGTGAATCTGGACTTCATAAGCTGTTTTAGGATTCATCTTACATGTTTTTTCCACTTTCCTTTTGCTATTAGAAATAATATTTAGTCTCATAATAGAACCTGAGCCAAATAGTACCAAAGTCTTCAACAACAGCATGAAGGAAAAGGATTACTGTTCTTCTCTTTTCTCTGTGCTCATATACAAAGTTCCAGCATAAGATATCACAAAATTGCTATTCTGCATGAGACTCTTATCTTGATTATTTTTCTTATCTTTCGTGTGAATTATATTCTTTTTCTGCTAACTGTGAATCAAGAGTAACTTTCCCTTTTTGTGCTACCTTTGACTTCTGCTAATTAAGTCTATTTATGACATCAGCGTAACAGAGCTGACACAGCAACTGTGAGCAAATGTCAGATTTACAGCCTCTCTGCTTCTGCAAACCAGAAAAGGAGATGAATTACAAGGGATGCATTTACTTCTTAATAATAATAATATGTTGTAATTGGTCATTTGGGGAGAAAAATGGATCAGAAAGATGGAAAGTAATTTGAATAATTTTCAAATAATACACTTGTAAAATTTGACTGAGCATGAAGGTGCATCTTTATTAAATGTTGAGTCATCCACCTTTCCATGTCCCTGCAGTCAAAACAGTATCAGCACTTTGCACACCAAAAAGTCATAGGATGGAACAGCAGTTTTGATACTGACACCATGAGAAAAAAAAGAAATGCAAGTATTCAAAAGCCTTTTCTTGGAGGGGTTGGGATAAGCAAAGAGGTAATCAGATCTTACCACTTTCAATAGCATTTTTCTTTAGAGATGACATACAAGGTTTTAAAAAATAAGTCTATATAAGCAGCAGTTACCCAAGTTATAAAAAATGAAAATAATTTTAAAAATTGGAACTATTTTCCACTTACCTTTCTATATTGTATAATAAGTTCAAAGCTAAGTGTATGCTTGTCTTTCTCCAGAGAACATAATGTTTTTGGCACAAGATTTTACTCTGTAGAAATGGAAAAAAATTAGTTGTCAGAATCTTAGAAGATCAGTTTCTTGCAAGAATAAAAGGCTTTGGATTTTTTTATGGCATTGCATTCTACAGTACTAAAAGTTCACAGACAAATTGTATTTATTTTTTGACTCATTAATATAAAAATTAAAAAGCTATCATATTCTAAAAATCAATAACTGACTTGTTTTTATTTCTGAGAGACACAAATTTATTAAGCGTCCTGACAGAAATTACAATACTAGATGCATCTAATTTGTTGAATATAAAAGTGCAGGTTGGAATGAAAACTTGGGCTTTGATCAACAGCAGCCCAGGTCAGCCTTGGCTTTGTCCAGCCAAGTCATTAAAATCTTAAGGGAACGATTTACCACAACTGCTCTGGGAAATCCCCTCCTGTGTGCCACTATCCCCTGAGTGAATGGAACAGAATATTCTTGCTCCTCTTCCTTCATAGGAAATGCAGCTTTCTAATTGACCCTGCCCAAATTCTTGATGTGCTTCCTGAACTGTGCCCAAGTATTTCATGGCCAACCTAAGCAGCAGTACTGAGTAGGAAGATGAAATAATTGTTTATGATCTCCTGGTCATGAATCTCCTAATTGTAGGTAGCTCAGAATGCCTAATTGCAGTAAGAACTTACTATTAGCTCATCTCCAATGTAGTATCCATTCCCCACATCCTTTTCTGCAACCTGCTATTCAGGCAGTCTGGTCCCAACCTGTATGGAAACAGAGTTATTCCACTCTTAAGTAACTCAAGAAATGCTCAAGTGCAACAATTAACAAAACAACCAAACCAATAAATAGAATTCCATGATAAAACTACAACTGTACAGTGCTACATTGTAGTGTACACTGTAGGACTACAAAGACAATCCTTTTTCCTGTCCTGAAACCTCAATATGATAGTGGTATTGTCTTGAAAAAAACCACCAAACCATTCTCCTTGCAAAAAGAATTCACAGAGATCATAAAGCACATCCAAATTCAGTGTATCTAGAAATAAGGAAAAGATGCTCTCATGGCACAGGTTTTTAAACAAACAAACAAAAACACCTTCCACATTCCCTACTACTTTCTGTGTTAGTATTTGATGCTTCAACTTCACAGAAATATATATATATATAAAAAATGAACCTCTGAAGAGTACGGTTGTTTCCATTTACTGTGCTTTGGAGGGTATTTGTCTTTAATTCGCTACCACCCCAATGACAATATATCTATCCACACACTCAGGAAGAACCTCTCTTGCCTACATTAGCATCTCGCCCCTGTTTAATAGAAGTATGGCAATCTGTTGTGACTGTATATATTGAATATTTGAGGGTTTGGGGTTTGTTATGTTTGGGTTTTGGTTGTTGTTGTTTTTTTTTTTCTTCTTTATATTAAGAAACATTGTAGTGGCCAATATTTTTGATGGCATCTCAAAGTGCAAACATTTTAGAAAAGACCTGAATCTATTTATTTTTTATTGATTTGATAACCACCAACAAAACATCTTTAGACTTGAATCATGTGGGGCAAAGGAAGTCAGTACAATAATCTAGCAAGCAAACTACAAAGATTATTTCTCCTCCTCCTAAAAGCTGGAAGCACCTAAGAGTGTTTTCTGAGGTCCTTTTTGTTTTGTAATGTTGGTGGAGTTAATTGTAAATTTGTAATTCTAATTGTAAATTGACGTAAATTTATCATGGAATATGTTACTAATTAAAGCAGGATTAAATGCTCCTCAAAAGTATCTATTGTTTACCTTTAAGATCTTGTTCAGTACAGAAAGGAACATTAGATCCTTGGAGCTGATTGATTTGAAAACTGCAAATATTACTGCAGCGGTTGCTTTAATTGCAGATCCATGGAACAGGAATGGCCAGACCTCAGAATTTATGTTCGATGGCAGTTCAGAGAAGTCATTAAAAATTTACTATGGTTTTGTTCTGCATGCATAGTGTATGACCGAATGACAAAGCATTAGAACATGTCCTAAACTTGACATTTAGAGAGTCAGAAAAGGATATAGCCTAATGGGTCATGTTCAGCCTGACCTAAAGCTTTCCTAGCAAAAAGATACCACCAAGGAAAGTGACTGTTCACTGTTCAAAGAGCTGCATAAAATAGATAGCAGTTCCTCAGCAATTAGAAAAAGTACGTATGAATGGATGTTGCGAGAAAAGCATAGGTCGTTCAGAATTTTTTCAGAATACATGATGTAGAAAATATTAACAAGTCTTAAGCAATGGAAAATACACCTGCCTTAGCCTCCTAGCATTTCTAACATTCTACCAAAAGTTGTACAAAGCAATTACCTAAAAAAAAGATTTACTCTGTTTTTATTTTTTTAAAATATATTCACCTTTGAATCACACAAACTGCAACAGACCTCGCAGAAAGTCTGCTTTATTCTAAACAACAAAAAGATGAAAATTTAATGTAAATAAAAATGATTGACAGATAGATATCATTTGGAGGCCCAGATCTGACACAGTTCAGGACAACTTCAAATCTGCTTTAAAACTGCAGTCTTAGAGAGGCTTCAGAATTGATTCTACTATCTGGAATCATGAAAATTCAGCCATATTAATTCTTAGGCAGAAAGTAAGTGATGTAAATAAGAAACTATCCAATCCTAAACATACAGTCATACCCGAAGTATGAATTAATAGAAGCCAACACGTTAAGCTGTGTTAAGTGTCAGTCTATCAAAAATTCTCAATCATCAAGTATGTAAAAAAGTCATATGTGTTTGCTAACATGTACTGTTTATTGATTATGATACGGTTCAAAATACCTGTAGAAGTCCAAAGTATTGCTGGCAGTTTTGAGAAGAAACAATTTCCCAAAAAATGTGCAAGAAGTTTTGTTTTTAAGTATGAGCAATATTTGGAAGTACAGGTGGCAGTCTTTAATGTAGCTTCAAGATTGAATGAAAAAGGGCCAGTTAGCCTATTTCCTTTCAATTTACATTCAAAGCCTAGACAAATATTTCATCCATGTTCAGAGAAACAAATGCCATCATATAATCTCTCACAAGTGGTCAACACCCTTGCAGGACTGATTGGTGAAGTTGGAAGACATCTGCTTTTCCTCCAATGCTTCACCATCAGCAGCAGCTTCACAACATCTGTTTTGCTCTTCTCCCTTTCATTTCTTCTCATCTCTTTGCCTATTTTAACTACCCAGGGGAATGGTGCTTTAAGTCTAACCATCTGTTACTTAGCCATTAAAAACAAATACAAATAAATATTAAAGCCTTGCTAAAAAGCAAGCATGTGTCTCCACTGATTTTAAGAGTGTAATTTTTTAAAATACTACATAAGTTGAATGAGTAAAAAAATCACTAAGTCATACTTTGAAGGTATTAAACCCACTGTTAAACATTTTAAGCCTATATATTTAAAAACAATAGCCCTGGAAGTTAAAATTAAACACATAATTAAGGCCTGTATCCATAAAGAGCCACATAAATCTTCAAATCCTGTTGCCCATAAATAAGCGTCCAAATGTTTAATGCTTAATTAGCTCGACTTTTGTCACTTTATTTTTAGACTGACTCCAGATTTCATTCTGTCTTTTCTATTTGAATAATAAGAAAGCTACTGTCAGAAGTCTGAGAAAGGTAGTTATAGGCTGTCAAGTCACTTCATTTTCTCTCAGAAGAATGAAATAGATCGATCTTTCTAGTACATATTTCCCAGACCGAATCATTCATGTAGCTCTTTTCATCTGAAAATCTCTGTTTCTTCATGATGTATGGACACAAGTAGATACAATACTCTAATAATTATATCTCAAAGCTGTGTGCAGGTATGTTTTCATTTCCTGCCACTGTTTATACGTGATTTTTGCTGTTATATTCTCCCTCACAGATCATATACTGCATTGAAAATACAGGCATTATTGGATATCTTTTCTTAACTTTAAACTCTTTTAATCACAAGCAGTAATAAAAATTAAAATTTTCCCTCTTATTAGGTCTATGTTTCACAAGTATTCTTTTGCATTGTCTGACAGTGATTTGTACCATGATTTCCCTTCTTTTATTTTACTGCTTCTCTTGTTTTCTCTCTTAGTTAGTATGCGGTCATTTTTTAACCCACAACAATGGAACTGTGATGCTTGGGGACAGCAAATAAGGGCGTATTTAACAATTCATCATTATTGATCAATTATTGATTGTATTGATAAAAAGTGTCTATAATTTGTCACACAATTTTGTATACAAGTGTTCTCAGTATTTTAATTACACGCAACATAAGTCTTGACAGAGAATATTCCGTGCAAAATAATTTACAATAATATTTATGAATAAACAAAATGCCTATTTTGCCCTAATCTCAAATAAGTTATTTATTACATGTTGGTGAGCTCATAATGAAGAGCGCTAAATCTAGATTTGTACTTTCTCAGGAGTGGGATCTTTATTGCTTATAGATTATTCTGTGAATTTAACAATCACTGCGAATAACTCAGTTGATTAGTAAATCCTCTTTTCATGTGCAGAGATTATAGTATGTTTATAGTATATTTATTTGGTATATGCACAGGAAAAAGTTAGCTACTATGCACAATTCTATTTTAGCTTTCTATTCTTTTTGCATGATTAAAATACATTTGTAATTAAGGTCTTGCAGCTGTAATGCAACACTTGCTTATCTATTTCTCATTTTTGGAAACACAAGTAGGTCTTATAAAAAATGTTACAGCCAGTTCCAATAATTTTTCAACTTTCAATGAGAGATTTAAATAAAGTATTCACATAAAGTAATGCATATAACTTCAAAATACCTCATTCATTTTGCCAATATTACTTCAAAATATATTGGGGACAAATACATTAGAAAATCTTTTTATTGGCAACTTGCTGACATTAGATAATTTTTTCAGCTTGTTTCTGAGATAATGGTAATGGTCAGTTACTTGATGGTTCACCCATCATAACCCTGAGCTTTTCAGTGCCCTTTTA